ACAGGGGCTTCAGGGAAAAACTTTTCATAATGACTCAGTAAGGTGAGATTTAAGCAAAGAGCAGTTCCAGGAGAAAAGGAGCAAATTTAGGTAGTGATTTTGCGAATTTTTGTTTGTGAATAAAGAATTTTGCATATAGGATAACAAAGTTCATCAGGTGTTCAAGAGCATTATCGTCTTGGTTAACATAAAAGCAAGTAACACATCTTCAAGACTGCATGAAGCGTGTTCTTGAACCGAGCCCGATCCTCAGTTGTCGTCACAACCAGAGGGCGGGCCTCTAGCCAATCAGCGCGCACCCAGCGGCCCCGCTAGCCAATCAAATCCACATACGCCGTCGTACGGAGTAAGCCCATCGTCCAATCAACAGTGCCGCTACTTGCGGGCCAGAATCCCTCTTCAACCTTCTGCTTTCTGGAGGGGCACCTTCAACCAGCTCCGCGGTGCACCGGCAGCGGCTTCCCTAGTTGTAAAGAAACAAGTGGAAATAACACTTTTTAAACACAGACACAATGTCCTTCCTGTCGGTCAGCAGGCTAGCACCCAAACTGCTCAATTCCAAGGTAAGAGGACTGAAACAAAAACACCTCGATTGGCCACTTTATGAAAGCTGCGGCTCTCTTAGCACGACGTAATGGCAAGCATTAGCTAGCCCTAGCTTTGTATACCACAATGTGGAGGTGCTGTCGAACAAGTCTGGGCTCGATTTGTGTTAAAACAATGTAAAATAGTGTGTTTTTTGTTTTTTGTTTTTTACTATAATTACTTAAACGTTGTTTTATTTGTGAACTTGGAGTCGTGTTGGCTCGCTATCAGTAGCATAGCAGCCGTGTGTGTGTGTGTGTGTGTGTGTGTGTTGGCCTTGTGTTGTCGCCGCCTGAAGTCTGCTCATGTTTCTGCAACCAGGAGAGACTAAACCGTGTTAGTTAAACTTAGTGCGACTCAGCCTGTGCAGTTTCTTCTTATTATTAAAAATGATTAATTGTTTTTTTTTATTTTTGTGATAGGTCACAAGCACCGTGTCTGCTTCTGAACTCCCCTTTAGCTCTGTTTCTTCACCGCCTCCGTTGACCTTCACGTTTAAGATTTCACTTCAATTATCTAAACTGCATCTCATTTAACAAGGCCCTGGAGCTAGTGTGCATGTTGTGTAAAACTCAAAAGTTGCACAACCCCGTGAAAGCGAGTCTTTTAGTGTGGTTTCAGCCCATCTGACATCAGAGTTAAAACTTGTAATCTCAGATGAATGATCTTAGCGTGATTGGGAATGATTATAAAAATGGGAATTGCTTTAATAGTTAACTCAGCATGTCATAATTGCCCCTGAAACACTGCCAGTGATTAAGTAAATTGCCCTCTGTGCTGACTGTAAGCTACTGTCTTACTCCACTGACCTCCCAGCACAGACTACTCACACCTAATGACCCCTCATATCAACTTTTCTAATACTACCAACTTAATGCCCCCCTGCACCCACCCCCCTCTGTGAACTCTATACAGACTGACAGACTGGGAGCTATCGTGTTCCTGTTATCAGTCATCTAATATCAGTTGTAATCTTTGCTCAGGAAAGTAATTAGTAAGCTGTTTTTTTTTCTTTTTTCTGTCCTTGCGTATCATTCTTTGTCCATAAAATCTTTTGCCTCTGGACTATGACTTAAAATCATGTGATTGAGAGCAAGGACATAGGAGCAAGCAATACATGTGGTGTTCTTATAATAGTTTATTCAGATCATTTTTTCAGAAGAGGGGATTGACTTCTATGCATCTTTTTATTTTTTTGGGGGGGGTGTGGTAAATGCCAACACGTGCTTCTTAAAAGGACAGAAAAGGGGAATTGTTGGTTAAGCAAATAGTGTTTTTTTTGTGTCGCGTTAATGGTTAATTTCAGAATAAATGTAGAGTCTGTTACATGTCACTAAATGACACACAAGTGACTGTTTGCCGTTAGCAAAGTTGCTTCCTCCAGCCAGATAGTTGTGTTTACTTAAGAGAATGTTTAGTCAGTGATAAATCGATTACTTTTTTGTCGGTTTCTTTATCTCATACTCTGATTTGACTCCTATACCCTTCTGTCCGGTGTCGTTGGTTTAACCTTTCTCCCAGGCAGGAAGCAGGGAGTGACTGAGTGAAACTGGCGCTCTATATTTAAGACCCTGAGCTGTTACATAATCTCTCACTCAGCTGTGTAGCGTGGTGACGCAAAGATCCTACCTTTTGTTTCTGTGAGCCTCGTCACTCCTTTATCCACCCTCAGCAGTTGTGTTGGTGGGGAGGGGATCCCATCGGGAGCAGAGCCAGCTGTCCCCAGACTCCTCCCTCTCCCATTCATGACTTTAATAAGCTGAAAGAGGAGTCCTGTTTCAGCTGCGAGAAGCACCAGGCTCCACTTCTCACTACTGCCGCTGAGCTTCCAACAAGATTACTAGCCTCCAAACACTTTCATAACCAGGGCCGGTCGTTTTTTAAATCTCTCCTACATCCCTTGGTCTTGTTCCAACAACAGTCCAAGGCTTAAGAACCCAAGCACCATTAATTATACAGAAGGTTTGGTTCCTCATGTCATGTGTCATTTTCTTTTCCGTAGCTTATCTGTGCAAATACCTTGCAAAAATCACCTGAATATTTCCAGACTTGTCTGAATCAGGCAAACATTAAATACTGCTTATATATATTATATTAATGCTTATAAAAATGCACTTTATTTACCGTTGTCTTTTTTTTTTTTTTTGCGAGTTACATTGCAGCATATTACTAGGGTGTAAGTCCATTATAAGAGAATACAAAAACACCTTTTTCATGTCCTGAATTGAAGGATTTAAGCAGCGGACAACATTTCCAAACATCACATGTTCAACTAGCATGAAATTCATGAATTGTGAAATGGTTGAGCTGACCGAAACAATACAAGTTCGCTTTGAGTAAGGAATGGAAAACATGTAAAATATTTCAAAAGCATTTCCAGGCTTAACAAATCCTGTATGTTTATTGTTTGACACCAGCATAAAGGCATGATGGAAAACTGGAAACCACATGAATCAATCCTACATATTGACATTGTAGACTGGTGACTGTAAAATGTGTCACTGTATGAGTCTGAACATCATCAGCAATCAGTTGAACGCCTTCAGGTAGTGAACGTCTTTGACAGGAATAGTCCTCTGTCACCATTAGTTACTTGTTCCGGTTGTTTGTAGTGATCCGTCCAGTTAAGTTATGCAGAGGGGAGCAAAGAAGTGCTTGTCAATATGAGGAAGGAGGGATTAATAATTTAGATCCTGGATTAATTACTAGCGTTGAGTCCTGGCAGGATACCAAACCAACAGCAACGCTCGATGGGCCAAAATAACACTTTTTTAAAATGGCATTAAATCTATTCTTTAGGAAATCAATACGCCTGCTGCTGCTTATGTACACCGCTGTTCTGAAATGTGTCAACCTCTGTGTCGTTGTTGCTCTTGGATGGGAGAGCCACTGCTTTTTTACCAGTCCCTCTTTAAATTATTGCAGAGCACAGTGCATGACCGTTGTATTAACAACATAAACTGACATTAAATACTTAGTAGTATTTAAGTAAGAAACAAATAGTCACAAATTGTTAGGTGCCACAGGGGGTTTGTACGGTGGCCCAGAGGTGTCAGGCCAAATACAAAGGCCACAACACAAATACAAAAGCCACAATGGATGTTGACAATGAGGCGAGGAGGATTGTTGCTGCGGACTAATTATCAGACTAATTTAGAAGAAGACAGCTCTTGCCCGTGTGATAAGTAAGTGAAACGGTGTCTCTCTAGCTAACTCAACACTTGATGAGTCCTTAGTAATATGTTTTGAGCCATATTCCAAACTAGATTGGGCAAGCAAACAAGATTTCAGACTCTCGCTATCAACTTACTCCCGATTCAGGTCTTGTTAAGTTAACTCCCCATATACTCTCGCTCTGTGGTCCTTCCTGCCTGTTGCTAGGAAGGACCACAGCTTTCATATGTGATATCTTGCTCGCGTGGTCTAATTTAGCTTTGTAGGAACTCCACTCTCTCGATCTGTCGGCCTCCAGGATGGGGTCAGTGTTGCTAACGCAGTTATCAACTTCATATCATAGCTCACCGGTGTGACTCTCGGTGATGGGTGGTTCTGACTCATAGGGTGGTGTGGATATGTTAATATTGTTTGCTTGTGCCCTATGGGATGGACAATATATCATAGAACTTCTGGTCTTGCTTTTCGTGGACGAGCTAGATGCAGTTAGAAACACTCTGAAGCCCGCTGCATAGATTAAGGTTTGCCCTGTTAAACAGAGTTTGTTTGGGGTTATTGATGGTTGAGTTACAAAGTTAGAACTGGTAGTAAGAAGGGTACGCGGTTAATACATCTCACCTGTCGGTACACTCTGCACAGCTTGCCCTGGTAAACCAATACTCCTACCTGTTGAAGAGTTACAGTTATACAGGATATTACAGTATATCGGCCAGTACTACTTAAAGATGAAAGATTTCAAGTCTGTCTTTTTTTTTTACGCCTTTCAACAACTGAACTAGAGATTTCTATATATGAATGTGGTCTTAAGCTAAGAGGAAGGAAGCCTGTTAATGTCCAAAATATTTGAAGGTGCTGCAAGGTTCTCATGTAAGGCCTTTTTCTTTTATTTAGCTTTGTGGTGGTGAATTTAGTAATACTTAAAATTGTATTCTTTCTTTGTCTATTCTACAGAATGCCACCTACTTCCTCGTGGCTGCCAGAAATGCCAGCGCGTCAACAACAGTAAGTACAAA